CCATCCTCCTCAGAAGGTCGACAGGCTCTTCGTTCCTCCCAACGTGGCCGACGCTATCAACAGCGCGGTGTACAATGGCCGCCACGCCGACGCTACATCAATGCTCAAGGACCTTTGGACACCGTTCGGCTTTGATGAGATGCCAAGGCTTATCCTCGTCCTTGCAAGACACCGCAGGGATAACAATCATTGGGTTGTCCATCGGTACGTAATGCCCGCGGAGTCGGACTAAATTGTATCTCACCTCCTTTTCATATCAGGTTCTCGATTCCTGAAGGCACGTTGTGCACTTACGACACCTATCCAGAGAAGGCACTTGCCGATGGGCGGCCTCTTGGTTGGTGGTTTGCAATTCGCGCTGCATGGCCCCATGCCATGTATCCAAACCCCGACCACTTGGTTCAGAAGCTTGTCCGCATTCACCGCCCACTCCAGCTCCTTATCGATAACTCGGTCGCTGCCGCAGCGATCTGGAGGAATTTGCTCATGGGTTCGAAGGCTGAGCGGAGCGTCGACTTGGTACGCATGCGTGATCTCGTCCACACGGAAGTCCGTGCCATGAAGCTTCGCAAAGAGCAAGGCAAGCTCGCCCTGCCAGCCTCTCGGACTAGCTGGGACCATCAGATCACAGAGTCGTAAAGCACGGCATAGAACACTTTCGTCATTTAGCCTTCCATCATTTCGTTATACCTCATTGTCGCCTCGATACCACCTTAGAGCAGTGTTGTTTGGCATTCCTACTCGGGTTTCTCGCATTCATTACTACTGTTGTGAACACAAATTTTCTGTATCTTTCTTGCCGATGTACTTGGGAACCATGTGGAACGGAGCGCAGAATTACTATTAGTACTCTGAACAAATATAGTCTAAACTATGCATAGATCGTGGGCGACCTTCCAGTCACCGATGTTATGGCTCAACCGGGACATGCGTTGTTGTGGTTTGAGGTTCTTTTTCTGTTGAGCCTCGAACGACTGAACCCAATGTCTCGGTCCCTGATACTTGCCTATCTCGTCGTTTCTTGGCTCGGGGGTTGAGGATAAGAGCAGCTACGACGATAACGCCATCAAGGATCTGCGAAGAGTTTGGTTAAGATTGGATATAATATGTTCGTAAACCAGGACCCAAACTCACGATAACGGCAAGGTATGTGGCTGCTGCCACGCCGTCGAATTTAGGCTTGAATACCAAGCTCAAGACGGAGAACAAGCCTCCGCCCATATCGACCGCCATGAACAGCATAGAAATCCCTATAGGAATCGCATCAACTAGGATCCATTGTTTTCTGGTCAGCGGATCGAGGGGAACTCGCCAAGGACTTCTTTGCGCTTCCAAATTTCCATGTATTGGGGTCTGTAAGGTCCGCCCGGTATCGGCATGCGATCCCAGCGTTCGGCATAGGAGAATGAACTTACATGAGACCAACACTAATGATAACGGCACTCA